ATTTGAAAAAGTTTTCTTTATCGCTTGGAGTGGTTATTTTGTTTTTTGTTGATAACTCTATTCCTGCCGAATGTGTACAGGAAAGAGTTGTGCAGATCCTTTTATAAATAATATTTTTAATCTACAAATTAAATAAAAATAATATCAAAAAATATAAAAATATAAAATGCTTCAATATTATACAATACTTATCAATTTTGTAGTTTACATTTTGGTCAAGATCACCAACTCCAGAAATTGACAAAGTGAATTTAGAAATGCTATATAATTTAGGATTTTTAAATCCTATACCAAAACATTTCAAAAATACTACAACAACCTTCTGAAATTGTTTTAATTAAGCATTAAATAACAACAAACGTGGCTCAAATGGCAAAACATGAATACTATCCATTATTGCAAATAATTTTACCTACGAAGATATCAAAGACAATCTTAATGTAAGTATTTTCTTATTTTAATTACTAAGCAATATATTAAAATAAACTTTCCTATAGATATCCAATGATGCAATTAACTATGCGCGCAATCATTTTTTTATATATGGGCCTGAAGGTCTATCATTAAACAAACCAATCATAACATATCAAAAAATCTCACCTGAAAATGAACAAAAATTAGATACATTTTTAATGAATAAAGCTTACGTTGTTATGAGTTCATATAAAGTAGACACTGTAACTAATGAACTCGTACATTACCTTAAACATACAAAAGAAAATCTATGGAAAATATATAATGAACAAAATTCAGATAGAATTAAACGAACATGTTTTTTTAAAAAGCTACAAGGCAATAAATATATTTACCGTGAAAATTTAGGAGGACTATGCCACACATGTCAGCAATATGGATATGAAATCTTTTTTGATATTAGTGACTTTATTAATAAATATATAATAATCATTCTGGAAAAGGTATCTATAATTTAAAATTTAAAATTAATAATTATAATTTATAAAGTTATAAATATTTTTTTAAATATTAGAAACGATTAATTACCATAGCTGATAATATTTAAAGCGTAATTATGAGCACCATTTTCATATTAACGCAAAATAGAACTGCCTTTCATGAAATATGTATCAACCATTGCTTACCATATGCATTTGGCCAATGTGCTAAATCTCATACTTATATATGTAGTGAATGCCAAAGGTTTTTTGTTTTTTTTGAGGAAATTAAAAACTATACAGACATTGTACACTATGAGGAGCTTAATGACTTGAGAGAATACTTATTATACTATCTTGCACATCAAACTAGAAATGCCCAGTTTAATGCAAATTTATTAGATTTGAATAATGAAACTGCTTTAATTTTGATAGATTACAAAATGAAAATTTTACCTAAAACTGCTCGTGAAACAAAAAATAATTGGTTCAAAAAAAAAGGATGGTCTTTACATTTAGTAATGGTGTATACACGACAGTCAGATTTAAATAAACTTCAAGTTCAAGTATTTGACCATTGGGCAACTGATACTAAACAGGATTTCTGGTTTACAGCTTCCTCGCTTCATGCAGTACTTGAAAATCTTAATCCAAAACCAAAATCAGTTATTATAATGTCTGATAATAGTGGACATTATTATAATGCTGATTTAATGATGATAGTTCATTTTTGGCCTGAATAGTATAATGTAAAAGAGATATTTCTTGAGACGGGAGAGGCAAAAACAGCAATCGACTCTCACCATGCACAGGTTTGTCATAACTACATCAGCGAAATATATTAACGTAATTTTACGTAAGTTATTACGGCCTGAAATATTGCGCAATAATTACGGTCTGG